CCCCCCCCCCAGCACCAGCCATTCCAGTCCCCCCCCAGCAACGAGAAACCCCACAAACCACCCCATACCTTTATTTCCTACTGCCCCCATTAACCCTTCGCGGCCCACTCCTGCCTCATTAACCCTTCTCTTGCTGGCCCTGTCCCCCCCATAGGGACGCAGCTGTCACTCAAACGGAGCCCAACGGGACACGGTACAGAGCGGGACCCCCCCACCCCACAGCACATGGGGCAAGGATGGGAGGAGACGAGCTGTGTCCTTACTTCAGTGTGACTGGGCAGCTTCACCCTGCTCTGGAAAAGAAGAGCAAGGGACAGTTACTGGGGGCCCCAGTGGTGAGCGTGCCAGGTCTTAGCCCTATGGAGTGGGCTCGCTGCCCCCCACCTGCGGGGCTGGGTGATGGAAGACTGCACTGAGGCAATGTGGGGCAGGAGGTGCTGTCCTCTATGGGTCACAGCATGGAGACATCGGGGTCAGAAGCTGTGGCAGTGCCAGCACGGCTCTTCGTGGCACTCGGCTTTGGGATATGAGCACTGCGTGGTGTGGGGAGCACCTGGATAGGGGGCGGGCCCCCACGGATGGGGGTCTGCATGGGGAACAGGGAGGTCTGGGGCTCAGTGAACTCTGCGGGGGGTGGGGTGAGAGATCCATGGGATCCCTGCAGCGCCCTGAACCCACCAAGCCCTGCACCCCCAGCAATGGGGTGGGTTTGTGCCCTCCTGTTCCTGCACCCGGTGGGATGCCGCTCCGCGGGCCCCACACCTAACAGCCCACAAACCCACCCACGGGGTAAAGATGGCACAACCTCCCCTTCCCCACAACCAAACACAGACGTGGGGCGCTGCCCCATCCCGCACAGCTCCGGGACAACACGGCACAGAGCCACACCACACCACGCCACATCCAGACAGCACGACAAGAGGAAGCACGGACAGACCCGGCGACCACGGGGCCAAGAGGGCGGCCGCGGGGCGAGGACACACACGGAGCCCACGGGCTATTTACCTTCTCTGTCCCTTTGCCATGTTTTCTCAAGAGCGTGCCCTGTAGAAGCAATGTCAGAGGGTGAGCATTGGGGGACAGCGTGGGATGGGACGTGGAGGGGATGTGGGTAAAGCGAGGGATGCTCCTAAAGGATGGCTGGGGATGATGGGGACAGGTCCCCAGGGGGGTCGGTGGGACACCAGTCCCCGTGGGATGCTGGATGTTGCACCACTGGGGACTGGTACCCGTGGGGGTCAGTGGGACACCGGTCCCCACAGGATGCTGGGCCATTTGTTCCCCACTGGGATGTTGGATGTTGCACCAATGGGGAACTGGTGCCCATTCTGCAACGCTGTACCCGTGGGGTTGGTCCCTGTTGGGATGCTGGGCCAATGAAGAGCTGGTGGTGGTGACTGTGGGATGCCAGGCACAGAGAGGGCTGGTCCCCATAGGATGCTGGGTTTGCAGGGAACTGGTCCCACTGGGGTGCTGGGTCTGATGAGCAACTGTTCCCTGCTGGGACGCTGGTTTAGTGGGACTCTATGGTCTCTATGGGATGCTGGATGTTGTACAGAGAGCTGATCCCAGCGTTGGGATGCTGGACCTGTGGGGGCCTGATTCCTGCTGGGAAGATGGGCTGCTGAGCAACTGGCCCCCACTGGGCTCACAGGGGACTGATTCCTGCTGGGATGCTGGCTCAGGGAGTGCCATGGGATATCAGGCTCGTAGAGGACCGGCCCCATGGATTGCTGGGTCAGTGGGGCACCGGTCTGTCTAGGATGCTGGGCTGATGGGCAACTGGTCCCAGCTGGAATGCTGGATTCGTGGAAGACTGATTTGTGCTGGGATGGAGGTGAGTGCAGGAATGGTCCCATGGGAGGCTGGGCCTGCTGGTCCCCACTGGGAAGCTGGATATTGCACCAGTGGGGAGCTGATCCACCACATTGGGATGCTGGAACTGTGGGGGTTGGTCCTCACTGGGATGCTGGGTCAGTGGGGGACGGATTCCTATTGGGATGCTGGGCCTGTAGAGGACTGGTCCCTGTGGGATGCCATGGGGCCACACGGGGGGCTGTGAGCAGCCTCTGGAAGGAGGAGCCTGGGGTCTGGGGTACCTCTGAATGAGGAGGGAGCATTAGAGGGGGTGGTTGTGTGGGGAGCTTGTGGGGGGTGGGGATGAGTAGCAGGGCTACTAGGAAGGGTTGTGACCTGAGGGGAAACTGAGGCATGGAGCGATGGGGGAGCAGGGGGACCTTGTGTCCTACAGAGGCAGCCCCAGACAGAGCAGAGAGGACAGAAGGAAACCGCTGGGTCCAAGCCGTGCAAGGGACCAGAGCAGTGCCGATCCCACACCCTGCCCAGGGCAGAGCCTCGTGCCTCCTGCCAACCTCCTGGCCAACACCTCGTCTCCCAGCTGCTCCTCTCTGCAGGCAGTGAACGCCTCTGCCCTCAGCCCCCACTGCGCCCACAGCCCGGCCAGACCCCATGGGGAAACTGAGGCACGCGGGGTGCAGAGCAGCCCTGCCCACCCTGATCCCACAGCCAGTGTCCCTGTCCCACCCCAAAACAGAGCAAGATGACGGGGTCAGCTCGGCTGTCCCCAAACACGTGGCGCTGCCCGTTGCCATCCCCTCTCCACGCTGACTCCAAATCCAGGCGCCCTGAATCCGTCCAACCCCAAATCCCCACTGGGGTCGGTGTCAAGCGGGCAGTGAGGGGACGGGCAGAGCACGGGCAGCCACACGGGACAGGAACCGGAGAGGCCAGGACCGACACACAGCGGACAGACAGACAGACAGACATGGAGCCGCCGTACTTACAATCATCTGCCATTGAGAGGCGAGCGGAGCAAGTGGAGAGAACAACCGTGACATGAGTGTCCCCATCAGATGTGAGGTGGTGCCCAGTGCCAGACCCCTGCCCATCACATCATGGTCCTCCTGACCCCATCCCCCCCACCCCCACCTTCCCTGCTGCAGCGGGGACGCAGCCTCAGCCCCACACTTCCAAGGCTGGCAAACATCATCCAGAGGGGCATCAAACCGTCTGCATGTCCCTGTCACTGCCCCATGGCAGAGCTATGTGTGGTGGGATGGGGACAAGGACCGGGATGGGGGCAGAGCCAGCAGCACAGGCGCACCACAGAGCCCCGCAGCCCTGCTGAGGTGGCTCCAGGTAGGAGCCCCATCCCAGCTCTGTGACAGTGACAAAACCCTGGGGCCACACAATTTGGGGGCATCCCCATCCCTGCCCAAGAACCCCACGTTGCTGTGTGTGGGGAGGACAGACGCAGCACTGTGACACAGAGACTGCAGAAATCTTCTCTCCATGCAAGATCCATTGCTGGGCTTCACACCCATCCCTGTGTCACCCCATCCCTGTGTCACTCCATCCCTGTGTCACCCCATCCCTGTGTCACCCCATCCCTGTGTCACTCCATCCCTGTGTCACCCCATCCCTGTGTCACCCCATCCAAACGGTGCCAGACCCATGGCAAGGCCTCCTCTATCCGCAACACCTCCACATTCATTTTGGATGGAGGGAAGGATGGGAGGACACGGCTGGATGCTTCCTGATGCCACCATGGCAGGAAGGTGGCACTCCAGCAACATGGAACCAGAACCTACAGCCCTGGGATTGAGAGTCCCAAGCTCTGCTGACTGAGCTACCAGGCTCTAACACCAACACCAACTTTAACTCACCCCAGCTACCCAAAACCTAACCCTAACCTGAACCCTTAACTTCAGTCCCAACCTTAACTCTAACCAAACCCAAATCCTAACCCGTAAGCCTAAATCTAACCCCTGATCCCAACCCTAAACCCAACCCCTGGATCCCAGCTATCACCCTAACCCCAGTGCTATCCCTAACCCCAATTCCAACCTAATCCCTGACCCTGACCCTAACTCCAGCCCCAAACTTTACATCTCAGGTGGCCATCCCTTCCTCTGTCCTCTCCCCAGCCATGAGCTGGGGACACATCTGGGGAGGCCACCAACTCCTGTGCCCCATCACAGATCCAGCAGTGCCCTGTGTGGCTGCAGCTCCGTGTTCCCCACCCCGTCCCATCACTCACCGTCTGGTCGGTGAGCGGTGGCAGCACGATGGTTTTCTCCATGGTGTTCATCACCAGCTTCCAGAGCTCCTTCAGCACGCGCTTCAGCACCGTCTTCTCGCAGATCTTGGCGAAGAGTGTCAGGCTGCAGGGTGGGAATGAGGTTGACAACCCTGCACGGCACCCCAGTGCCACCCCGTGCACAGCCAACCCGACCCTATCGGCTTTCCGTGCTTCAAACTTGGGGACACGGGGTCTGGAGGTCATGGCTGATGTCCCAGCATGGCATCCCAACTCCATCCCATGCACACCAGCTCAATCCTACTGGTCCTCTGTGTTTCAAAGTCGGGGACTCAAGGTCTGGAGGTCATGGCTGATGTCCCAGCATGGAATCCCCATGTCACTTCATGCACGGCCACCCAACCCTACTGGTCCTTCCTGTTGGGGACATGGGGGTCCCACTCACTTGCTGTCCAAGAGGTCCATGATGGGCTGCAGGACGTTGTCAGCATCCTGTGCCACGCTGCTGCAGGTGCTGGCGGGGACATTGCCGGTGCCCTTCACCTGGCTCAGGATGTCCCCCATCTGCTTAACGCATTCCTCGATGTGGGGCTGGAAGCTGAGGATGGCAGTGGCCAGGGGGGGTCAGTTCTCCCCCATAGAACCCCCAGCACAGCCACGATCCTCAGATCCCGTGCCCCCTCACCTGGTGGCAAACACTCGGCTCAGCTCATCCAGGACGTTGTTGAGCTTCACCTGCAGCTCCTTTAGGATGTCACTGGCTTCTGTGTCCAGCTTGGGGGGGGGGAGGGGGACAATTTGGGGCAGATATCAGATCCCCCCAGCCCAACGCTGGGGGTTCTCTGTGTGCCCCACATTCATCCCTGGGCAAGGTCTGGTACGGTGCCATGGGGTAACCCATGCAGAAATGAGGAAGTGGGGACCACTCCAGGGAGAAAAGCTCCATCCCCTCCCCATGCCCCCCACCCTGACACCCCCACTACGCACCTCCTTCCCCCCCATGGCCTCAAACATCTTCTCCAGCTGGACGCGGAGCTGCTGGATGTTGTTCATCAGGATGCAGGGCTGTAGGGGCAGGATTTGGGGTCAGCACCAGTGCTCACGGTTGCAACGGCCCCACGGAGCCCCCCCTCCCACACAGGGTCACTGCAGCCCCGTGGCACTGGGATATATTTTGGAGACCTCCATCAGACAGCAAGACTGAGGATGTGGGTCATGGGGGCCGCAGTGGAGCTAAGTGATAATCAAGTGACAGCCACGGCGTGGGGACAGCACGAGCAGAAGGGAGGTACATCACCACTTTCTCCTTCTCCTTGGAGCAGTATGAGGCAAAATCCTTGGAGATGATCTCGGCGTACTGCAGCAGCACGTTGCTGATGGTCTGCGCCCAGAGGAAGGAGGGAGAGAAGGAGATGTGAGTCCCACAGCGGCGATGGAACCCCAGGAGCACGGTGCAGTTGGGGAAGGAGTCGTGGTGGGGAAATGCCAAGCGGCGCAGTGAGGGTGTGAGACCCCTTCCAGGTGCCCACCTTGGCGAACCTCCGCATGTAGTGCCCGACAATCTGCGGGTCGGGGCACTCGAGTTTCTTGATGATCTCAAAGCTCTGGTTGAGCTGGGAGAAGACGTCCACCACGGAGCAGGAGAAGAGCGCGTGCTCCGACGTCTGCTGGAACTGCGGGGAGAATCAGGGGGGCATTGGGGTGAGGGGCTCATGGCCCCGTGCGCGCACACAGGGATGGCATCCCGTGCCCATTGGCCTCACCCCGTCCTTCTTGTCGCGCTCCAAAGCTCCGTGCAGGAAATCCCGCGACACCTCCTCATTCTCATCCAACCATTGGATAACAAAGGGCTCAAACCATCTGCAACGGGTGCACGGTGAGAGCAGAGAGCGCGGGGGCACAGCATGGGTCTGTGTCACAGAATGCCCACCCCCAGGAGCTGCACTCACGCAGGGTACTCCGGGACGCGGCTCTTGAAGGAGGGCAGCTCGGTGACGTACTCGTTGTACAGCCACTTCACCTTGAAGTGCAGGTTCATGTAGTCTGCGCTCTTGCACAGGCGGTGCTTGTCGTGCTCTGCGTGGGGAAAGCGAGAGCAGGGCGGTCTCATCCAGCCCCAAACCTCTGGGAGTTGGCGGGGGGGGGGAGTTGGGTGACTCCAGAAATGATGGGGAGAAGACGGGAGGGTGCTGAGGAGGGGTGAAAGGGGATGGCCGTGCTGTTGGACGTGGCGCTCACCCTCCATCGCGTACTTCATGTCCTGGGCAAAGAGGTTCCACATCACCTCGGCGCTGATCTTCCCCACATTCAGCTCCTGGGGGAACCTGGGGTGGGAAGGATCCCACAAAGGATTGGAGAGGTGAACTCCAACCTCTGTCCGTCGCATGCAGCTTGGAAGCCAACTCCAGCCTTTGCCCATCACACGATTTATCGAGGCCAACCCCAACCTCTGTCCATCACACACAGCCTGGAGAGCCAACCCCAAACTCCCCCCCACTGTTTTCCTATTGGTAGCATGGCTGTTACACCCCGCGTCCAAAATCAACCTGACTGGCACCGCCTGACCCTGAGCGCCCCTTTTCCTATTGATCAGTGATCAATTGCTTACTCACTGGTTCAGGCAGGGCGTGTAGGAGTTCTTGTCCTCCTCAATAATGGACACAATCAGGGTGATGAGCTTGGACCAGAAATCCAGGTTTTTGATGCTGGGCCCCTGTTCTTCGGGGGGCACCTCGCCTTTCTTGTTCTGGAGCAACAGGGATGCAGGGGGAGCTTTGGTTACCCATTGGTTTCCCACCGGTCACCCATTGACCCCACTGAGGTCACCACTGAGGGGAGCACAGGGGAGCATTGCTAGGAGAAGGGAAGGAGAAGGGATGGATTTGGGGCAGCAGTGGGGTCCCACGCACCGGGTCGGTCTGGTACTCGCGGCTGTAGAGCTCGTGGCAGTTGTTGAAGATGTATTCGTAGGTGGAGTTGAGGCATGCCTTCACGCAGTCCTTCACCACCTGGCTGGCTCGGGGTGGGCTCTGCAGCTCCTGGACCTGTGTGGGATGGCAGCAGGGCTGCAGCAGGGCCAGCAGCCCCCACCCCAAAGCTGCCGATGCGGAAGGAGAAAATACCTTCATCCGGAAAAAGGTGATGCTGGTCAGCAAGTCCACTGTGGACTTGAGGTCCTGCAGCCTCTCAGGACTGCTGGCAGGGAAGTTGTTCTGCCAAGGGGGGGAGAGAAGAGTCACACGTTGGGGGGTGAGAGCGGACCCTATTGCCAGGGTGGGGAAACTGAGGCACAGCAGTGCCTTACCCGGTACATGGAGAGGTCGATGCGCAGCGAGTTGTGCAGCTGGTCGAGGAGTTTGACGAAGCGCTCTTTCTGCAGAGAGACGCCCCGGGGACGGGTGAACGGGGGGACGGAGGTGGGGGCCGCCCCCTCCCCGCTGCGCCCGTACCCCAACCCTCTCATTTCTGTCCTACTGTCCTGTCATCCTTCTGTCCTGACGTCCTGCTGGCCCTCCCACCTCCACCAGCCCTGTGGTTGGGGCAGCCCATGCTCCCTGGGGCTGGCTGGCATCTCTCGGTGGCTCCGAGGCACACGCGGTCCTGGCAGAGTGCGGATGGGGACCGCTTGGTGAGGGATGCATTCCTGCATCCCTTCAGCTCTCTCTGGAGCAGGATGGGGAACCCTGCCCTCCCTGGGCTCGGAGCAGAGCATGGAGCGTGTTGTAGGATTGCTCCTCCCAGTGGTTCAGCCCCAAAGAGAGAAGAAAAAAAGAGCGTGGGGAGAGCAGTTTGGGGTGCTGCATTTCCAGCTTCGAGGTTGAGCTGTTTCAAGACAAACCAAGGGGGATCCTGGGAGTCAGATGCTCCTGGGGCTCCTTGGAGTCTGCCCAGGCTGCATGGATGGAACACCATGGGCTGATGATTCCCTTGGGGGATGAGTGGCTTTAGGGCATAAATTCATCTCCCAACCATGGGGTGAAGGGATGCCGACCCACACTGGGCTGCAAACATGGCACCTGAGCTGGAGGCAAAGCAACTGCTTTGCTCCAAATGGAGAAGCACTTTGGGTGCAGCTATGCTGGGGGGGTTGGACACCCCCCTGTCGGCCGCATCGGGGCCGGGCTGTCCTGCAAACCTTCGGAGCCGCGCTCGGTCCCCGGCACCCAACGGCTGCAGCGCGCTTAAATCGGACCCGCCAGGTGCTCGGGGATAAAGCGGCGCGGCCGGGCACTTTAGGACCCAACCTTTAGGCTCTCTAAAAAAAGAGAAAGAAACAAAGTTTTTAAAACCCTCCACGTTAAGAGAAAAAGGTGTTGTTGTTGTTTTTTTTTCTTTCCTGTGGTCTCCTCCTGCCGCACGGCTCTCGCTACCCTTCGCCCTAACCGAGGCTGGGCTCCGACCCCATAGCGCCCGCACAGGGGGACGCAGGGGCAGCTGGGGTGGGAGCACAGCCCCCTCCTCACCCGTGTCCCCGTGGGCGCACCCATCCCCGGAGCAAACTCAGTGTGCCACCCATGGGTGCTGGCACAGCTGGGTGAGTTTGCGGCGGTTTGGGATCGCGCCCGGTGCGCGTGGGGCCGTGCGAAGCTCCCTCTTGGCACTGGCGTTGTGAACTGCATTGCCACCCCAGCGATTGCACTTCAACCCAGCCGGAGTAATGTGAGCAATTTTCCACTTTCTCCAGCAGGAAATTTCCGTCCCATAATCCAAGAGAGGGATGAATTTTGGTGCCCAAACCCCACTGCCCCGTGCCGTCGGGTTGGGAGCTGCCTTGCACGGCCCCATTTGCCCCTTTTTTTTGCCCCCCACCCCCTCCCCAGAGAAGAGAGAAGAAGAAGGAAGGATTGTTTACGCACCATCGGACTTACCCCGAAATTGGAAGCGGCAAAGCGGTCGGAGGCAGAGACGTTGGTGGAGGCTGTGGTGTGGGCATAGTAAGCGTTGATGTTGGCCAGCAGGGTGCTCATCACTGCCGGCACCCCTGGGCACATGTATTTGGAGGACAGGCAAGCAAAGTGCCTGGGGGAAGAAGTGGGAGACGTGCTGCTTGTCTGGGGGGCACACATTGGGAATGGGATGTTGGAGTAGGTGGGGATGTGCGCACACGTGCACCAAGGGCAAGGCCAGGATGCAAAGGGCAGCAGGGCAGCAAAGGACTCACGTCATGGCCTGGTAGATGGATTCCACCCCATAGCGCATGGCAAACTCATCCACGATCTCCTGTGCCGTCTCATCAAAGTAAACCTTCCAGGCGTCGTCCCCTTTGGCGTCGGGGATCTTCACCACTCCGTTGTTTTGTAAATCCGTCACGAAGTGGAAAAGGTTCTGGGGGCACAGACGAGGGTCCCGTTACAGCTCCGGGCTCGGGGGCAGCACGGTGCGGGTGATGGGGTCCACGTGGTGCTCACCTCGTGCAGACACGTGTACTGCACGTGGTAGGGGGCCACCTTCTCCTCGCCCTTGATCTCCACGCTGATGTGCAGCCGGATGGCTCCCGACACAGCCGACTTGTCCGTCCGCTTGTCTAGGGGGGCACCGAAAGCGTGAGACCCCCAGAGCAGCCCCAAAACCGCCCCATTGCAGAGGGTCCAGGGCACAATGGGACCCCTCTCAGTGCCTCAGTTTCCCCATGATCCCAATAGGAAACGATGCTTTTGGCAGCATCCCCCTCCCCTTCGCAGCAGGCTGAGGGTTGCGCCCCCAGCACAGCACTCACCCAGGTTGTACCAGACGTCCATCTCCCCACTCAGTGTCCGCACCTCGATGATGGTTTGGCCCAGGAAGTCGTCGGACTCCCTCTTGAAGCGCTGCTTGACGCGGGATTTGATGTCATCATCCTCATCCCAGACACGGACTTTGATGCGGTCGGAGGAGTTATGGCACTCACTGCAGGGAGAGGGGGTGGGACCAGGATGAGTGGGGAAATGTGCCTCAGTTTGCCCCAAACCAGGGAGAGCCCCGTCTCCTATGGACCCCCGGCCTGACAGCTCCCTGCCACCCCACCACCCGACTTACAAATGGAAATTTTCCTCCCAGACCGGGTTGAGATTGCCATAGATGGTTTTAGTCCTTTTTTTTGTCTTTCCAACCTGGACGGTCACATAGGGGTCACTGGAGCCCGTCTTATCCTTTGCTTGCAGGCCCTGGGCACAAACCACTGCAGCAAGGCATGGCACAGTGTGGCACATGCAGCCATCCACCCCAATCACATGTGGCACAGAGGAGAGAACAAACAAAGAGCAAAGTCAGCGCTGCAACCATGCTGAGGTCCCCACGCTGAGCACCCAGTGTCCCCATGGCACCCCCTAAATCCTCTCTGCAGGACGAGGAGGCTGGGACGCACAGTGTCCTTGTGCATAGGGACGGTGACATCTCCAAGGACTGGAGCTGTTGCATCCCCCTCTCACCCCAAGTGCTGTAGCTTATAGGGGATGCAGCTGGGAGAGAGCTGTGCCCACAGGGATGTCCCACAATGGGAGCAGCAGGGATGCGGCGTCCCCACGGGGTGACGTACCCGTGATGCTGATCTTGGCCGACCACTTGGAGGTGCCATCCAGGACGCTCTGCTTCACAGCCTTCATCTGCTGCGTGTGCGTGGTCTTGGTGACCCCAAACACCTCCTGGATCAGCTCGAAGATCTCCGGCTTGTTGCGCTCGCGGATCTTCATGCGGTCTTTCAGCACCATGATGATGTTCTGCGTGCGATCCTCAGCTCCGTGCTTGGAGCTCTTCTCCGCCGCCCCTGGGGGAGGGCAGCGGCAGGTGGCACAGCGGGGACAGATCACAGAATCACCATAGACTCATAGAACGCCTTATTGGAGGGGACATCAAAGCCCATCCAGCTCAACCCCCTGCTGTGGGCTGGGTGCCCCCCACCAGATCAGGCTGCAATCACGTCTCCCCAGAGCCAAACACACCCAGCTCATCAGCTGCTCTCCACAGCAGAGGAGCTCCGCACTCTGAGCATCCTCACGGCCCTCCCCCTCCCCCAGCTCCACGTCCCTCCTGCGCTGGTACTGCAGCTGGGGCCTCACGAGGGCAGAGCAGAGGGAACAGTCCCTTCTCTGCCCACTGCCCCCAGTCCTGGAGAGCTTTACCCGACTCCCACATCCGTGCCGCTCACCCCAAGCACACGGCAGGACCCCACCTCCCACATCACTGCCGCCTCCCTCCGTTCCACCCCACAGCGGTACGGGGTGGGGAAGCAGACGATGGCTCACTCTGCAGGCAGTCAGCGTTGAGCAGGTCCTGGCACTTCTCGTGGCACTTGACCCCGCACTCGGCGCAGCGCATGCCCTGCCGGGCGATGCCCCACAGCAGCCCCTCGCACTCGTAGCAGTAGGTGGGGGTGGTGGCCGTCCACACCTCGAAGTTGTGGGGTGTGGTGCAGGAGATGGGGTACACTAAGGCTTGCAGGGTCTTCTTGTAAACATGGTTTTTCTGGGGAACGGGGGGAAGAGAGAGGGAGAAAAGCTCCTGAGTTAGAGTGGTGGCCACATGGAAACTGCCATCCTGACCCCGTTGACGGCCATCCCCATTGCTGCCATCCCAGCCTCTTTGCCCACGACCCCATTGCTGACATCCCAACCCCAACAATTGTGTCCCCATTGCTGCCATCCCAAACCTTTGGGACATGACCCCTTTGTTGCCATCCTGACCCCACTGACCGTGCCCCTCACTATTGCCATCCCAACCCCTTTGACTGCGTCCCCATTGCTGCCACCTCCCAGCACCTACCAGCTCCTCATTGTTCAAGGTGCTGGAGGCCAATGCGGATGTGATTCCCGCTTTCCTGGACTGGACCAAGGACTGTAGGAAAAAAAACAGAGTTCCCAGTCCAGCACAGCCCTTCTCCATAAATCCAAGACCCCTTGAGACCCCTAACAGAGCACTCACCATTGCCTGCAGGCAGCCAGGGCGAGCAGGGAGCAAAAATCCATCATTAGGAGCTACATCACAGCATAACCCCAACCCTAAACCTGCCACGGCCAACCCACAGATCCCCACCCATGGTGCCCACCCCACTGCCAACCACGACCCAACATCCCAAAACCCAGACACTGACACAGCACAGCAGAAGCATCAGCGGCCGCCCCAAGCGGGCTGGGGGCGAGGACAGCACAGGGGGACAGCAGGGTGGGATGGGGCGGAGCTGGGGACAGCATGGGGATGCCCTGGGGAGGGCACGAAGTGTGGGGAGAGGTGGTGAAGGGCACCTAATGGTGGGCACAAAGGGCGTTTGATTGCTGAAATTGGTGTCTTCAGTCACTGGGGAGGTGACAGTGTGGGGACACTGTGAGATAGGGGTTGGGTTGAGGTCCCAGCGAGGGGATGGCACAGCCCATGGTGGCAATGGGGACGGGAGCACAGGGTCCATAAGGGCAGCACTATGGCACCCGTGGCACCACCTGAGCTGAGGTGGGACAGGAAGGGACAGGGGACGCGTCTGTGCTACGTGACACAGGCCGAGACGAGGACGCCGGATGCCTCAGTGTCGGGACCCTGCAGCTCCGTTAAAGGGAAGCACCCTTGGGTGGGCGGCGCCGTCCTCCTGGTCCAGGCCACCCCAAATCCACCTGCGACCCCAAACCCACCCCGCCCCACCAGGAGCAGAGGTCCGGCAGCCCCCAAGGGCGCTCTCCCTTTAACCCCTTCGTCCCGCGCTCACCAGATCGCTGACTAGAGGGAGAGATTTGCGTCCGGGCTTAATGTCGGGCATGCTGTTAATGCAGCGCAGAAACCTTACAGCCGCCCCCCTACAGGCGGGGACGGCCAAGCCAGGTTGGAGGAGAGAGAACAGAGAACACAAGCCATGTTAGAGGCGGCAGCGGGGCGCGGGCGGCGCGGTCCAGCGGGAGCGAAGCCGGCGGCTGTAGGGCGCAAGGTGTTATAGGAGGAACCTCACCAAATCGCTAACTAAAGGGATGGGTTTTCGCTTGCGTATATCCGGCATGCTGTCTATAATGATCAGCCCGCCGCCAGGCCTGCAAGAGAGAGGAGAGTCAGAGGGGGAACGGGGGAGCTGTGGCAGGGAGGGAACCAGGCGCTCCTGGGAGCAGCGCATCCGCCGGGCGCCGGAGCTGTGGGGTGCTGGTGGAAAGATGCGGCTTTCCCCGTCGTATTGAGGTGTTTTCCCTTGGTGTTGCAGTGGGAAAAGCGGTGAAAAGCAGCCCTTGGGGGTGGGCTCAGGGTTTTGGTGCAGAGTGGGGGCTGCTCAGGGGACTTGGGAGCCCCATGGCATCACTCAGGTGTAGCAGGAGGGTTGAGGGAGCTCTGTGTTCCTGACCCACTCACCTCCTCGTCGTCCCCTCCGTGGCTGTTCTTGGGGACGTGGAGCAGTGCCTGGGGACATCTCCAAAGCACTGAGTGACCAGCATCCAGCCCCAAAATCTGCCATCCAACCCCATACAGCCCCCAGACCCAGTATGCAAACCCCAAACTGGGTATCCAACCTGATAATCTGCCATCCAACCTGAAAACCTGTCATCCAGACCCAAAATCTGGCCCCAACCCATGGAGGCCAGTCCCCCACGGCTCTTCCCAGCCCCCCAGAATGCCAATACTGCTGCCATAGAGACAGCCCCACGTTCCATAGGTACTCACCCGCCTTTGAACCAAAGCGATTTCGCTTCTCCATCGCCTTCCCCACGAGCCTGAAAAACATGGGGTGGGCATCACAGACACGGCACTCATCACCTGGGTTGTTGGCCAAAGCCTGGTCCCAAAAGCACAGGGCTAAAAAATGTCATCAAGTAGATACTGTGCAGGGAGAGAGGGAATAAACCGGCCCCAAAAGCTCGGTGTAGGATTCGGGTGGGATGGATGTGCAGAAGTGCAGGTTTGGGGAACATCACTGGGAAGGCACAGCGGATCCAGGGGAGAATGCAGGGATCGGGGTGTGTGTAGGGACCCCCAAAGGAATTCGGGGGGAAAAAAAGGAGGAAAAAGCCAATTGTTCCTCCCTTGTAGGGCGGCCCCTGCACACACGTGGGCACACGGGGAAGGCACACAACGGTTCCATCGGACGTGCTTACCTACAGCCCTCCCCTGCGGGAAGGGAACACGCGAGGGCCATGGTGGTGGAGAACTGAAAAGTGAAGCGGTGGGGAGGGGAATCGCAGCCCCGGGGGGGCGAATCCAGAGCCAAAACAAAAAGAAAAGATGGAGGATGGAGTCTAAAAACAGAACAAAAAAGTGTCAGCGCAAGGCAGGGATGGGGCGAGGGGTGGCACTGGCATGCACACACGTGGTCCTCAGTGTTCCATGACCTTACGGGGCCATCAGTGGGGTCCCCGCTGCCCCCCGGGGTGTGGGTGTTTGTGGGGTGGGAAATGGGGGGCTCACCTCCTGTAGCTGCAGGCAGACTTTGTTGAAGGCTCGCAGCCAGTTGGCTTTGGCTCGCGCTTTGGGGTCCTGCACCTCCGCTTCCACCGGCTCCCTGCAGGGATATGGTGCACTCACTGCCTGCACCATGCTGGGGTCTGGGCATGGTGAGGTGTGGGGATCCCTATGGGTTTTGAGGGAACGTGAACATGGGAAATGCAGTTTTCTAGCTGGGAGAGCTCTGCAAAGGCAGCGGGTCTCAAGCAAAGGCAGAGCCTCCTCCTCTCCCTTGGTGAACCCTGACTTGGCACCCAAGGGAGATGGAAGGATCCAGCCTGGAGCAAAGTGACACTGGTGTGGAGACACATGGATTACGTGTCTTCATCCTTTTTGGAATCATAGGCATGGAATCACAGAATCGTGGAGTCATGGAATCGGAGAATCACGGAATCACAGAGTCACAGTCATGAAATCACAAAGCCATAGAGCCATGGAGTCATGGAATCATAGAGACATGGAGTAATGGAATCACGAAGTCATAGAGCCATAGAATCATGGAATCATGGAGTCACAGAATCATGGAATCATGGAATCAGCGTCATAGAATCATGGAATCATGGAATCAGTCATGGAATCATGGAATCTTGGAATCATGGAATCCTAGAGTCATGGAATTGTAGAGTCATAGAGTTATGGCAGCACGAAGAGTAGAGCCATGGAGTCATGGAATCATGGAGTCATGGAATCATGGAGTCATGGAATCATGGAATTGTGGAATCATATTACCATGGAATCATAGAGTACTAGAATCAGAGTCATGGAATCACAGCCACAGAATCACGGAATCATAGTCATAGAATCATAGAATAATGGCAGCAGAGTCCTAGAGTCATGGAATCACAGAGTCATGGAGACAAAGAATCGTAGAGTCATGGAATGGAGGAACCATGGAATCGTGGAGTCACAGAATCATGCAGTCAGAGAGTCACAGAGTTATGGAAACACAGAATCAGAGTAATAGAGTCACAGAATCATGGAATTACAGAATCGTAGAATGACTTGGGTTGGAAGGGACCTCAAATATCATCCAGTTCCTAGCCCATCTGCTGAGCCAGGCTGTCCTTCGAGCGTTTCCCACCAGCTGGGGCTAAGAGCACCTGCCCAGGGACGGCTTCCAGTTCTTTTCCTCCTCTCTTGCAAAATCCAGATGGGGAGGAAAAGGAGAGGAACACTTTGAGCGCTTTGAACCTGCCAGGATCCCGCAGAGCGCAGCGTGACGCGGCAGTGGGAATGGAGCCCAGGTGAGCTCAGGAGACCCTGCAGGACCTCAGCCCTGTTTGTGGGGGGCCTCAGAATGGGGCAACCATGGGGCTGCCCACAGAATGGGCGCTGCAGGCAGACCCGAACCGAGGGCCACCATCGAGCTGTGTCACCGGTCCACAGCGTCCCCAGGCACGCTTCCGGACAGATCCCCCTCCTACCTGTCATCCTGTTTTGGGGGCTCGGGTTCGGGTGCTGGCTCCTGCACGGGAGCTTCATCTTTCTGCACCTCTGGGGCCTCCTGTGGGGCAGATGTATCCTGCTCCTCCTTCCTCTCCTCCTTCCTCTCTTCCTTCCTCTCCTCTTTCCTTTCCTGCTGCTGTGGCTTCACCTGTGGGACCTGCTGCTGCTGCTGTGGTTTCTGTGGTGTGGGATAGGCGTCACGCTCAGGGGCTTCGTAGGCACCCGGCTCCCGCAGCTCCTCCTCCTCCTCCTCCTCCTCCTCCTCTTCCTCCTTGGGGTAGCCCTCCTCATTCTCACTGTAGTCCTCATTGAACTCTTCCTCCTCCTCCTCCTCCAGGTAGAGGTCATCATCCTCATCCTCCTCCCAGCGTGGCGAATCCTTGCGGTAGCTGACGGAGCTGTGGCAGGAGTGGTAGGAGTCGCCGTCCCTCTCGTCCAGCTCTGAGTCCCTCAGGCTCTCATTCTCGAAGTCCTCGCTCAGCTGGGAGCTGCCTTGGCTCAACTCGGCAGACGAGGCGTAGCGGCTGCTCCCCGTGGGGCTGTGGGGTGAGGGGACAAGGAGAAGGTTCCCGTGGGTCCACGTCGTGGCACCGCCTGCCCCACGTCCCCTCAATCCCAAGGGGGTGGGTGAGGCGGTGTGGAGGGGGCTCCCACCAGGACTGGGTGGGCACTGGGCTCCTTGCACAGGCAGATGAAAACACAGACCCCAGCTTGGATGCTGGGGAGGTTCCTCCCTGACTGTCCCCTCAGCTTGCCCCCGCCATGGGTTGGGCACAGCGTGGCCGTGTGGCGTACAAAGCCAGATCCAGACTCCTGCCCTCCGTCCTCCAAATCTGGCCCCTCACCCCATACCTGATGGCCTGGTGCTCCTGCACCTGTCGTAAACACCCCAAATCCACAGGCAACACCCCTCTAAGTGTGGGCACCACCCCATCTCCAAGTGCATTCCTTTCCGCGGACATCTCACCAAGAGCACCCCTTCTCCAAGGGTACCCCCTCTTATGGTGCACCCCCTCTTCTGTGGACACCCCCTCCTTACAGAGAGCCTTCTTCTCCGAGGGCATCTCCTCTCCTAAAGCATCCTCTCTCCATGGGCACGCCCTCTCCAAATGTACCCCCTTTGTATAGACCAATCATTCCCTTGCTCTGGGGACCTCCCTTTGCTCTTTCTATGGGGCCAGAGCCTTCTCACCACCCCCTCCCCGCTGCCCCCTAACCAGCACCCTACACTCACTGCTACCTGCACCCATGGGTGCAGTTGGGCAGAGGGACTCCATGCACCCCAAGTGCTCCTGGGGGTGAGGTGTCCCAGTGGCCGTGTGGCTCTGGGGACTCACATAAGCACACATGCAGACAGGACAGGGACAGGGACATGCCTAGGAAGAGGCCGACACCACGTCTCCAGCCAGGGCTCGGTGTGGGCGAGGGGGGGCACGGAGAGGGAATGGGGGAAGCAGGGGATGAGGCACTGGGAAGGGACGCTGGGGACACCAAGGGGTGCAGGCATCATCCAGGCTCCTTGAGGAGGGGGCTTGGGGCAGGGGGTGCAGGAGACATGAGTCATGCCTGGCCTGATCCTGGCCCTTGGGGTCTCAAACGGTTGCAGGGAAAGCTCTAGTGTGCAAAGCATCCCCGCGTCACCACGAAGGGGGGCAAGTGGCACCACGACACGTGCTCACCCCCACTGCCAGCTCCAGGAAGAGCAGCAAAAAGGGGCAAAACCCAAAACCCTCCGAACTTCCTCACGCCTCTCCCGCTCTGCGGGGCGAAGCCTCCCTTGCCGGGACTGGTGTTGGCCTCACCGCGGCTGCAAGGAGCGAGCACAGCACTGTGCGAGGACGGCACACGGCACACAACGAGGTGACGACCCACCTATCCGATAGGTCTAGGGACCGCCTGCTCTCAAGGGAAGGCTGGCGGCTGGTCCGCCTGCTGGACCCCGAAGCAGACTCAGCGTCGCTGCGCCCGTTTGGGGCAGAATCTACGCTACTGTAGCGTCTGCCGGGGAGGAGAGGAAGAGGAAGAGGATGGTCAGAGAAGTCCCACCACCGCCCGTCACCGCGCCGTCAGCTGGGGATGTTGCCTTGGGGGGCTGCGCTGTGTGCTGTGACCTCAGGGCTCGTCCCCTCCTGCCCTACGGCCACGTTGGGTTTTGGGGTCAGTGGTGGGGGCGGAGAAGGGGGGGTTTGAGCCCACAGAGCTTGGAAACTCCTCCATCCATCTCCAGCAACGAGGAGAGGCTCAGGGCTGGCACCCTCCTCTTCCTCACCTCTCCGCCAAGCACGATTCCCCTCTGCCACCCCGCTGACCTCGGGGTGGGAACAGCGGGCGCTGGGGGGGGTTTGCTGGCTACCAGGGCTACCTGACGGGCCGCTGGTCTGAGTAGTCCATCTCGTAGCTCTGCATGGAGTCGGTGTAGGAGTCGCGGGAGCTCTGCTGCTGGTGCCTCATGGGGTATTGGTGCACCGAGGCGTTGGGCTGCGAGGTGGTGTAGTAGGGTGGGGGGATGCTGTTGCTGGTCTCGCTGCGGTAATCGCTGTCCCGGTCATCCACCGTGCTGTCGGGATCATCGTCTGCAAGGGGGTGCCGTGAGCGGGATGGGAAACCCCAAAGCCACCCCCGGTGCGTCCCTATATGTGTGGGAGGAGGTAGGGATACTCACTCTGCTGCTCTCCCCAGCCGAAATAATTCCAGTTGCCTACAAAGAAAAGGGGCAGAGGGGGGTCAGGGTGGCGGTGGGGCAGCACCAGGAGCTGCTCCTCCCCGGTGTGGTGGCACTGGGATGGGTTGGGGACAGTGCCTGGCAGTGATCATGATGGCACCAAGCTGCGCTGTGCACTTACAGCACTGGGAGCCGTGCACGGGCAGTGGCTTCTCCTGCTCCTCCTGGAAGGCATACTGGGGGGGGGGGGGGGGAAGGCACCATAGGGGGGGGCGGCACCCCCCCCCCCCCCCCCGCCCCCCCCCCCGGGCCCCCCCCCCCCCCCCCCCCCCCCCCCGCCCCGGGGGGGGGCGCCCCCCACAAGGACATGAGGGCTGACTGCAGCCCCCCCAGCCCTGCCCAACCCCTGTGCTGGGCGCCCCCCTTACATCATCCTGGTCCCGCATGGCGTTGAGCTGCTCCAGCTTCTTTGCCCAATACCTCGCCTCCTCCTCGGGGATGTCTGGAAGGAGAGAAACCCCCATAGGTGCCCAGAACAGCCCCGGAGCACGGGGTTGGGGTGAGGAGGGGTCACCCACCCAACGGCAGCTCAAAGCGGGTGTCCAGGAGGATGCGGTGGAAGGTGGGGTCCTTAGTGCCTGAAATCTCATTGTCAGTCATAATGACCTGCGAGTCGAGGGTCAGCCATTCCCCAGGGCCCTCCTGTGGGAAAAGGGGGCTCAGGGGGGGCACCAGGACACCCCAGCACCCGAGCGAGCCAAGCCTTCCACTGTGGGGTGTCACTGCAGAGCTAGTCAACACCCCAAATCAAGGAGTTTCCCCTCCATGCAGAGATGGGGAAGCCACCCAGGGGGATGTGCCCATGTGCCCATGTCCCTTGGGCTGTAACTCTGGGGGGGTCCTACCTCGTTGGACTGCCGGATGGTGCGCAATGGGATCCACACCGTCCCCACCATGGTGTCCCAAATCAGGCCCTTGTTCCACACCTCCACTGTCAGGCCCAGGTCCAAGCGATTGATCTCACTATGGGATGGGGGAGAAATTGGGGTCACCACCTCCCCATCTGCCCCTCCGTCCCCCAGGGCTCAGCTGGGGCTGATGTCAGAGGGAGAAGCAGGGGTGGGGGGGACCCTGAGGATGAAGGGAGCAGTGGGGTGGGGGGATCCCGGGGTCCACAGGTGAATGATGCAAGGAGAAGCATGAGGTCCCTATGGGGTACAGGGAACAGTGGGGCAGGGGTCCCTGTTGGGGTGGGGGCACTCACAACATGAAGTCCTGCTCCCAGGCAGGCAGATTGCCCCGCACTGCGATGGTGGTACTTTTGACATTCTGCACCTTCAGCGTCACATAGGTGTTGAACTTCTCTGCGGGAGCAAAGCAGAGGGTGAAGGGACCACCCTGTGCCCCCCCCAACCCACCCCCGGCTGTGACCCCCATGGTCCTACCCAGGGAACCCCTATCTCTCTCCCCCCCACCCCACACA